GCAGGCGGGGCCGAGATTGGGGGTCTGTGTTCCGGGCAGGGCTGAAGTCGGGGGTCTGAGATCCAGGTAGGGCCGAGGTTGAGGTTCTGAGATCAGGCAGAGTGGAGGCCGCGAGGCTGAGATCCAGGTGGGGCCAAGGCTGAAAGTCTTAGATCCAGGGAGGGTGGAGCCTCGGAACCTGATATCCAAACAGGCCCGAAGTTTGGGGTTGAGATCCAGGCAGGGCCAAGATTGGGGGTCTGGGATTCAGTCAGGCCCTAGGCTGGGGTTCTGTGATCCAGGCGGGACTTAGCCCAGGAGTCTGAGATCCAGGCGTGGCTGAAGTTGGGGGTCTGCCATGTAGGCAGGGTCGAGGCCGGGAGGCTGAGATCCCGGCAGGGCTGAGGCTGGGTGTCTGAGATCCAGGCAGGCCCGAGGCCGGGGGTCTGAGGTCCAGGCAGGGGTGAGTCTGGGAGTCAGGTCCAGGCAGGGCCAAGCCTAGGGGTCTGAGATCGAGGCAGGGCTGAGATTTGGGTTCTGAGATCAAGGCAGGGCTGAGGTTTGGGTTCTGAGATCCAGGTAAGACTGAGTATGGGAGTCTGAGATACAAGCAGGGCCTAGGCTGGGAGTCTGAGATTCAGGCAGGGGGGAGGCTGGGATCTGAGGTCCAGGCAGGGCTGAGGCTGGGTGTCAGAGGTCCAGCAGGGTCCCAAGGATGGGTGTCTGTGATCCAGGCAGGGCTGATGTTGGGTCTGTGAGATCCAGGCAGGGCTGAGCCTGGGGGTTTGAGATCCAGGCAGGGCTAAGGTCGGGGGTCTCAATTCCAAGCAGGGCCAAGGCTGGGAGTCTGAGAACCAGGCAGGGCTGAGGCTGAAAGTCTAAGTTCCAGGCAGGGCTGTGGCTGGGGGTCTGAGGTCCAGGCAGGACTGAGGCTGGGAGTCTGATGTCCAGGCCGGGCGAAGGCTGGGGGTCTGAGGTCCATGCAGGGTTGAACCTGGGGGTCTGAGATCCAGGCAGGGCTGAGGCCTGTGGTCTGAGATCCAGGTGAGGCTGAGTTTGGGGGTCTGAGATCCAGGCAGGGCCGAGGCTGAAAGTCAGAGATCCATGGAAGGCTGAGGCTGGGAGTCTGAGGTCCAGGCAGGGATGAGGCTGGGGCTCTGAAATCCCAGCAGGGCTGAGGCCTGTGGTCTGAGATCCAGGCAGGGCTGAGTTTGGGGGTCTGAGCTCAGGCAGGGCTGAGGCGGTGTGTGAGGTCCAGGAAGGGGCAGAGGCTTGTTCCTCCTCTGTCCTGTCTGTCTGCTCATCCTCTCTTCTTAGAAGGACCCCATCCCCTTGGGATCAGGCCCATCCTAACGACTCATTCTACCATAATCCCCCGTTTAAAGACCCACCTCCAAATCAAACGCATTTTGGGGGCCCGAGGGCAAGGGCTTCACCGTATGAGTTTTGGGGGGCGCAGATCAGCTGGCCTGAGGCTTGTGGCTTCCGCGGAGCCCCGTCCAGCTCAGCAGGAAGGCTGCTACACAGACAGAGGCTGGAGCTGGGCCCGGGGGACGCTCCCCCTGGTTACCCAGCTGTGCTGGCCGTCCCCCTGCCCGTGGCGTTTCCCGCTCTACGAGCCCCCTCGGGCTCAGAAGTCGTCTCCCTTGTGGTTCCTGTGTATCACTTGCAGTCATGTTTCTACTTTTGCCAAAAGCCTTTCACTCCCAAGGCGTCGCGCATTTCCCCTGATCCTCGTGTGGAAAAGCTAGTTGTATAATTTCTGTTTTCCACGTGAGGAAAGGGTCCTGGGAGGTGGTTGGTTTGGCGAAGGTCTCGCAGGGAACAGGTGGTGAGGCAGGAATTTGAACCCAGGTCCTGAGGCTCTGGGGTGTGTACTCATCCTCCAGGGCGTGCAGGTAAATCCCCAAAGGTTAAAATCAGGTGTGTGACGGCATGCGAGCTTGTGGGTGAGCACGTGTGTGTGCGTGTGGGCTAGTGTGTGTGCATGTGCCTGAATATGTGTGTGCTCACGTGAGCACGTGTGTATACGTGTGTGTGCATGTTTGAGTGTGTGAACGTGCGTGTGCACAAGTGTGTGCATGTGTGTGTGCATGTGGCCATGTGTGAGCACGTGTGTGCACATGTGAGGGTGTGCATGTGTATGTGTGTGTGCCTGTGGCCATGTGTGAGCACACGTGTGCATGTGGGCATGTGTGCGCACAGGTGAGTGTGCATGTGAGCAAGTGTGTGCACAAGTGGGTGTATGCATGTATGAGTATATGTGTGTGCATGTGACCATGTGTGAGCACGTGTGTGTGTGCGTGGGTGAGTGTGTGAGCACATGTGTGTGCACATGGATGAGTACGTGCAGGTGAGTGTGTGTGCACGTGACCATGTGTGTGCCTGTAAGCACGTGTGTGTACGTGTGTGTGTACTTGTACACACAGGTGCGTCTCCACACTTATCATGACACCCTCCGTCTCACGCGGACATGACCTATAATTGCTCTGATGGGTGATGATTACGATGTGATATGAGATAGAATGAGGAATAAATGAATAAAACCGTCTATTTCATGAGCTGTCAAAACGTTTAGGAATTAAAGAATACAAATGAAATCTCATTTCCGTCTTCATTATGAGCCCAAGGCTTTAAAATGTTCTACAAATGATCAGCGGTTGCTTTTTTAAGCCTAGCATCCATCATGTATTTAAGCCATGATAGTTGGGTAAGTGGATGTGATTAATTCTTGCCCCTTCGTGTGTCAGCAGAGCTGGCTGCCGGGGATGGCTTGGGTGACTGTGTGCATGTGCATGGGAGAGTATGTGTGTATAAATGTGTGCGCGGGTGTGTAAATATGAGCTTATGTGTCTGTATCAGAGTATGTGTGTGTGTGCGTGGGAATGGATGTGTGCGTGTGGGTACATGACTGTCCCCATGAGCATAGGTGTGTGCATGAGTATGTATGTGTGACTATGTGTGTGAAGGTATGTGTGGGAGTGTGAGTGCCTGTGTGTACATGTGAAAATACATATGAATACATGTGTGTGAGAACATATGCGTGTGCAGGTAAATATGTCTGTACATGACTTGCGTGCCTGCGAATGTATGTGCATATAAATGTGTGTACATGCGTGTGAGTATGAGTGTGTATAGAGTTGTGTGTGTGCGCATGGGAGTGTGTGTGCATGCGAGTGTGTGTGTGTGTATGGTTGTGTGTGCCTCTGGGAGTGTGTGTGTCTACGGGAGTGTGTGTGTGTACATGGGAGAGTGTGTGTTTATGAGAGTGTGTGTGCACATGGGGGTATGTGTCCATGGAAGTGTGTGTGTGCGTACATGGGAATGTGTGTGTGCGTGGAGTGTGTGTGTGTGTGTGCGCGTGCATGTGAGGGTGCATGCATGGGAGTGTGTGTGTTCACGTGGGAGTGTGTTTGTACCCCTGGGATTGTGTGTCTGTTCGTGGGAGTGTGTGCATGGCAGTGTGTGTGTCCATGGGAGTGTGTGCACGTGCATGCGAGTGTGTGTGTCCGTGGGGGTGTGCACATGTGGGAGTGTGTGTGTCTATGGGAGTGTTTGCACAGATGGGAGTGTGTGTGTCTGTGGGCGTGTGTGTGGGCGTCTGTGGGAATGTTTGTGTGCACGTGGGAGTATATGCGTGCATGCGAGTGTGTGCACATGCGTGGGAGTGTGTCCATGGGAGTGTGTGTGTCTGTGGGAGTGTGTACACGTGTGTGGGAGTGTGTGTGTGCTCATGGTGTGTGCACATGTGGGAGTGTGTTTGCACATGTGGGAGTGTGTGTGTGTGTCTTTGGGAGTGTGTGTGTGTGTATGTCTATGGGAGTGTGTGCGTATCTGTGGGGGGATGTGCACGTGGGAGTGTGTGTGCGTGCGTGGGAGTGTGTGTGCGCACATGGGAGTGTGTGTGCGTGTCCATGGGAGTGTGTGTGTGTCTGTGGGGGGGCGGTGTGCACGTGGGAGTGCGTGTGCGTGCGTGGGAGTGTGTGCATGGGAGTGTGTGTGTGTCTATGGGAGTGTGTGCCTATGGGAGTGTGTGCGTGTCTGTGGGGGGACGTGTGCACGTGGGAGTGTGTGCGCGTGCGTGGGGGGTGTGCGCACATGGGAGTATGTGCGCGTGCGTGGGAGTGTGTGCGTGTCTGTGGGGGGGTTGTGTGCACGTGGGACTGTGCGCGTGCGTGGGAGTGTGTGCGTGTCCGTGGGGGTGTGTGTGTGCACGTGGGAGTCTGTGTGTGTCTGTGGGAGTATGTGCGTGTCGCTGGGGGGGGTGTGTGCACGTGGGAGTGTGCGTGCGTGCGTGGGAGTGTGTGTGTCCGTGGGAGTGTGTGCGTGTGCATGGGAGTGTGTGTGCGTGTCTGTGGGAGTGTGTGCGTGTCCGTGGGGGGGGTGTGCACGTGGGAGTGTGTGCGCGTGCGTGGGAAGGCCCACCCCCGTGCAGATGAAGACGCACGTCCACCTTGTGAGGCCCGGAGGCCTCCCTTGGACGAGCAGGCTCGCAGGTCCCGTAAACGGGTTGACCGCGTTGGGTACGTTGTGTGTGCTTTGCACTGTGTTCTGACGACAGGGGAGGCCAGAGAAGGAGACTCATTAGGCAGAGAAAACGCATTTCCAAGACTATGTGGCATTTCCCGAAAAGCATCCGCCTCGCAGCAGACGCGTGTTGTTCTGGGGTCGGCTGTGTAGACCGACGGGGCCCGTGAGAAGGGTTGAGGGGCTGGGGCGGGCGATTTCCGCAAGTTTATTAAGCAACATAAGCGCTCCCCGCCCCCCGAAGCGCTCAGCCTGTCGTAAGCAGCTCAGGGGACGTTCTGTTGGCTTCTGGGCGCAGAATCACAGCCCCGAGGGTCCTGGGGTCACCACCATTTGCAGTGTCCTGAGGTCCCTTTGGGTCCCCTACCCCGCAGACCATGCCCACGTTGTGGCGTTGTGACGTTGCCGCGGTGCGCCAGATGCAGGGCTCAGCCCTCACGTGTCTTGTCTGCGTTCCCAGCTTCTCTTTGCACTTTGCTGTCCCCCTACGCGGTGACCGTTGCCCAGGAACGCTGCCACCCTCCCGCCCCCGCTGGAAACTCGCGTCTGTGGGGGCCCCAAGAATCCCGTGCCCTGTGCTCCCAAAGCTGACGCGTCCTGGCCTTCCCTCTCCCGGCAGACCCCAGATGAGGGAGCCTGGACCTCCGTCTACGCAGCAGTCACCCCGGACCTGGAAGGAATCGGAGGCCGCTACCTTTACAACGAGAAAGAGACCAAGTCTCTGACGGTCACATACGACCGAGATCTCCAGAGACAACTGTGGGCCACAAGTTGCCAGATGACCAGCATCCCTGACGTGACCCAAGACACCCTCTTGGGGTAACGGCCACATTGGGAAGACCTCGCCTCGGCCCGGCAAACGCAGGTCTGTGACCGATCCCCGTGTCTGCTTTTCCACAGCTGTTGCCTTCAGGGCTCTGTCCCCAACGGTCTCCTGTCTGCTGTCCTGCCTTTGCGGGAAATCGGGGAACAAAAGAAATATTGAGTGTGGCCTCCAAGTGGCCGTGAGCCACAAATTGTGTGGCAAGTTTCTCCCAAGTGCCAGGAACCATTAAATGCTGCCTAAGCCAAGTGTTCCATGTTTCTTGAGTAACACACGGCAGGGAGTAGTTTTGAGGAGACATGTTCCAAGTGACACAGGCACTTTGACACGAGCATGAAGCGTTGGGTCTCCAGAGGTTTCTGGGTCCCGTGAGTCCTTTGTTCTCCCACGCACCCACTATTCTGGACACTCAGCTTGGACTCCTGGGTCCCCAAGACAGAGAGACATGAGCCTTCCTCAGTCTGTTGGGGCCAGGTTGAGGTGGAAACCCATGGTCTACTCCACACTTTGACAATGACCCGGCCCCGGGTGCCACCTTCAGCCTGTAGGTCTGCTGACATGAGCTCAAGCCCATCGTCATGAGGATATGACCAATGCCAGTCAGGGATTCCGTAGAACAGGTGGGCGGACAGGGTCCTGGACGGCACTCCCCGTAGAGATCTGTAGGATGGGGAGGAAGAGAGGGGTCTGGACAGCTCTTCCCATGGGTTGTGTCCCCATGGGTTGTGTCCCTAACAGAATGTCTGTTAACGTTTCCACTGGCACCCTTCCTAGAGACATCTGCAGGACCCGGTTCATACTTAGTCCAGGAAACTAGACGAGGCATAATATGTGGTGCCCAGTCGTGGGTGGTGACCACCGTTCATCAGAGCCCAGCTGAGCCAGACATTTCCTTCTGGTTCCTTGCGTATCCGTAGGCACAGGCAGCTTGTCCACCAGGGACATGAGGGGTGGCACACGCAGTGGAGGTCAGGCAGACCTGGAAGGTCGTTGGGGTTGTGTCCAGTCGGTCTCTCTAGGAGGTGCAGTACGATCCGGTTCAAAAGATACCTGCACGTGCTACCCTCCCAGAACCTGTGAATGTGATGCTACTTGGAAAGATAATCTTTGGGAGGGAATTAGGACAAGCGGATCATCTTGGGTTCTCGACGCAGACCCAACGTGATTCAGAAGTTTCCTCTTCTGAAATAAGTACAGACAGATTTCATGACAAACGAGGAAGAGGTCATGTGACGATGGGGGCAGGGATTGGAGAGACTCAGCCACACACAGGGACTCCTGGAGCCCCCAGAAGGTGGAAGAGGCCAGAAGGATCTTCCCCGGGAGCCTCTGACCCTGCCCCGCCTGGCTCTCAAGAGCCCTACCCCGCCTGGGTCTCCAGAGCTGGGGGAAGGTGAACTCCTATGCTTCTAAGCCACCAACCAATTGATAGGAATTTGGAACCTGATAGAATCTGACGGAAATTGATAGGACCTCATACAGTTCCCGACGCTTCCGAATATCTCACGCACTCTACTGGGCAGGATCCTTGACTTTAGGGCTCTCCCTCACCCCCAGTCGGGCAAGGATGGCTCAGTCTTCCGTCTGAAGATGTCCTCAAATTCTAACAACGACAAGCTAGCCGTTGGAAATGCAATAGAAAGGACACTGTGTGTGTGCCTCTGGACTGCATTTCCAGACCAGTGACCGCAGGCTGGTCATCTCACTCTCCATTCCCTCAGTTGACAGAATCTCATGAAAGACTCAAACCCGATGTCAACTCCGGGCACATGCATTCTTTGGAACCACAGCCCGCAGCTCTTCCATTGTGGGGTTCACACTGGACACGGGGACAGGTGCTTTATAGTTCGCTGCTTGGATGTTCAGGGTGGATGGACTGGCGCCATGAGGTGTTCTCCTTCGGGAATGGAGCATCCCTTACTGGGAACTTAATAAAATGCAAAGGAATGTCTTTGCTCTGGTTTGGGAGACGTGAGAATGCCCGGGGTGAGTTCTCCATGTTTCCGTGGCCAAGGTGGTAAACCCTACAGAGACCTCCTTCTCAACAAAGATGCTGAAGATGCTTCTGAAGGTCCACTAAGGCTCGTGGGTTTTGGTTGCCCACTGGGGGAGCCTCTGAAAAGGATTGCTGGTCATCTCCAATTTCAACAGAATTCCAGAAGCAATTCCTCTGGATAGATCAGCATTTCTGTAGAGCTTCTGAAGGCATCTTCTTGATCTGCCAAGTTCAAGGACCGCCCCCCCTCCCCTGAGCCAGGCATATTTGAACTACAGCTTCCAGCCCTGGGTATCGGCACGCCCTCAGACTGCTCAGATATCCTACTAAAGCCCTAGACTCCGGACTAATGTCTTTTAGAACTAGAATCCCTTCCTTGATTAAACCAAGAGCGAGCTGTGCCTCATCTAGTATTCTGAACAGCCGGGAATTTGCACCACAAAACAGAATCTTGAGTTCGGGAAGGTGCCAACGTTGGAGCATTTATATGTCATCAGAGAACCTATTACAGCTTGAGGCCATTGTACACAAATGCCAGCGACCGTGTCCATGATCACAAAGGTACTTTCTGAGTCGAGGCTCAGGATGGCTCCTGGCCAAGCCGACATCTTCTGCCACTGAGATAACACACACGCCAGGATTTGACAGATGCCACAGTCCCCAAGCTGAGAAGACGCGCTTCACAAACAATTTGAACGTTGTAGGACCCTGGCCTCAGATTCCTCCTCCTTGTTACGTGACAGCCCTTATGTTTCTTTTCCTCCCTGGGAGAGACAGGGAAGAAAACAACAACATGGTTCTGGAGAAGGTAGCTTGTTCCCTCGACACCGGATCATAAAATTCCTCGGAGACATTTCCCAGAAGCTGGAGAAATCGTGCGGATCTCTGGGTGAGTAAAGCAGAATCCATGGCTTGGCAGGCACTGGAGGTCCTGGGTTTGAGCCTGTGGCTCACGTTAGGGGAGTGGACAGGGTCTCCGTGCACCCTCCAGGGTGACGACTTTCCATCCGCGGGCAAGACTCGATTCGGTAGTTGGGCTCATGATGTGTGTTTGTCTTCTCGTTAAAGAGGTTCTTTTCTTCCCTCGGTGTAGCAACAATGAGCTCTGTTTGGGTTCAGCAGCAGGAGGGACCACATCGTTCATTCATCTGTTCAGTCACTTAGTCAGTCAGTCAGTCAGTCAGTCCGTCATTGCTACAAGCCAGGTTCTGAGGAAACACAAGCTCACTCAAGTGACCAAAGGCTGGTCCGTGTAGTACACAAGCTCTGTCTAGATGCCAACTGGATATTGAGGATGTCTGTACCATGAACAGGTGGCATGGGCACCTCTCGTCTTGGCTATTAGGAAACACAACCAGAGAAGGTGCACTGGGCTCCCTCCAAGGAAGGAGGCGGGATTGGGGGGGAAGCTTCTTGGATTGGCCTATGGGTCAGGGAGGGCATTCCATGCTCATTTCCATTGGATCGGAGCTTTGGGAAGCATGAAGTCTTGCATTGGGTGCCATCATTAAGCCTTTGGGTCTCTGTGATGCATCGTCTACTGAATGATGATGCTGACACCCACCCTGTCTGCACCCAGCTTTGCTGAGAGAACAAGACCCATGTATGCAGTCTGCTTAAGACAAGTTCAGGAATAAATGTATGCCACCCATGTCTTTGCATCCAAAGTCTGGATTTGATTTGCCATTCAAGTGGAGAAATCACACTTGACCCTTGAACCACAAGGGGTTAGGGCTGCCCAGCCTCTATGCACTGAAAAATCCACATGTAACTGTTAACCCCCCAACAACTTAACTGCTAAGAGCCTACTGTGGACCGGAAGTCTGACCGATAACATAAATAGTCAACTAACACACATTTTGAATGCTCTGTGTATTATATACCGTGTTACTACAATGACATCAGCTACAGAAAATAAGGTGCGATTAAGAAAATCATAGGAAGTTGGGGCGCCTGGGTGGCTCAGTCGGTTAAGCGTTCGACTTCAGCTCAGGTCATGATCTCACGGTCCGTGAGTTCGAGCCCCACGTCGGGCTCTGTGCTGACCGCTCAGAGCCTGGAGCCTGCTTCAGACTCTGTGTCTCCCTCTCTCTCTGCCCCTCCCCTGTTCATGCTCTGTCTCTCTCTGTCTCAAAAATAAACAAACATTAAAAAAAAACATTAAGGGGTGCCTGGGTGGCGCAGTCGGTTAAGCGTCCGACTTCAGCCAGGTCACGATCTCACGGTCCGTGAGTTCGAGCCCCGCGTCAGGCTCTGGGCTGATGGCTCAGAGCCTGGAGCC